GGGTTTTTTTTTTTGGCAACCCTAGTTATCCCTTGTGCGTGATGTGCATATTTCGATCGCCATACCTTACTGTACCGGATCATTTTCTGGAAGACATCCGTCCTGGTTCCCAGCAGCCCAACTCCCAAGGTATCCAGAATCATCCTTTTGCTCCTCCGGACGACCACATCGGTCAAGTGGCTGGCCTTCAGCCCGTGGATCACGTTAGCAAAATTCCCAGTAATATTCTGTCGAGAGGATTAAAAACAAACAAAACAAGGGCTTGTCAGTCATCTAAGATGCGCCATCACACCTCCGGCTCATTTCCCTGCCGATTCCTGACCTCCAGCAGCAGCTTCACACCCGCAGTTTAGTAACTACCTGCCGTTTCCTGTCTGATCCTCCACCTGCCCGTCTCAGACGGAGAGTTTTTAGCAGAGAGCTGCAGGTGAACAGGGCAGAGCCTTCATTGCCCAGGGCCATCCAGGTACGTCCCCACCAACACTTCTGAGCCTTTGTTTTTGTAAAGCTTTAGAAACCTGCCACACCTGTTTGACCAGAGGCAACAGAGCTGAGCTTCTGTCCCACCCTGCACAGCTTGTGACCCACCCAGCTGAACGTGACTATATTGTGGCCAGCCAGATGTTTGATAGCCACCTTTGGGCAACCAAAATGAGAGGTTCATCATGCCCTTGATGGGCGGCCGGCCACAACAGGTAAATGCAGTTCAGGTGGCGCAGGGTGTGTCCCATGGGACATAAACTACCTGTGACAAACAGCCTCCAGTTCTCCTTTAGAGTAAAGATCGCCTGCTTTAGCCTCCTCGGGTGGGCCACCCGGAAGCTGGAAATTCACCCAACAATGTTGAGCAGCAGTGTTCCTTCTAAGCTGAGTTAGTGTGAGCTAGCTCACAGTTTTTAGCCTCCGGCTCACACATTTTTGTCTCAGCTCAGGAAGGGATGGCTCCAGAGCAAACTGATTTATGCAGCAGCCAAATCGCTCGCTCACAACTTTAAAGCCAGTAGCTCACAAAGCAGAATTTTTGCTCACAAGACTCCACAGCTTAGAGGGAGCATTGTTGAGCAGGCCTTTGACTGTCTCCCATTGACTTGTTGAAAGAAAATCCACAACATCTCTTTCCCACCACTCAGAGAAATAACTCATTGCCATACCTTTGCCCACATAGTGCCCCCGACCACAATTTTTCTCCTGGGCAGGAAATCTGTGCAGGAGAAATCTTCTCAACAAACCTTAAGGTGGGACAAATAACTCCCTTTTATACCCTGTGAACAGTGGTGCGGGGTGTTATTCCCCATACTCTCCTCCTTCCTTTACCCAGAAGTTCCCCCTTTTCAGCATTTACAATTTCCCCCTCTGACTAATTTGTGGTGTGCCATGGACGGCTGGCACTCGGGGTTGCAGCAAGACGTCTGGGGCAATTCCTGTCAGACGCAAGCTTTGTGCAGGTTGACAGATGGCTAAACAAGCACAAAGGCAAAAGTTTTGGCTGCTGCCAGAGAGCAGATAAGTCGGTCATTCCCAGACAGAGTCCTGGGAGACCAACAGCACACTGCAAGAAGGAGATGTGGCTCAGTGGCAGAGCATCTGCTTTGCATGCAAAAGGTCCCAAGTTCAGTCCCCGGCATCTCCAGTGATAAGGATAAGGTGATGGGGAAAGTCCTCTGCTTGAGACCCTGGAGAGCTGCAAAGTGTGGAATCGCCCTGAGGTAGCCAGAAACAGAGGTGCTCCTCAGGATTACTTGCTTGTAGTCTATCTCAATGCTCCCTCTAAGCTGTAGAGTCTGGGGAGCAAAACTTCTACTTTGGTGAGCTGCTGGCTTTAAAGTTGTGAGCAAGCGATTTGGCTGCTGCATTATTTGGTTCCTCTGGAGCCCTCCCTTCCTGACCTCAGACAAAACTGTGTGAGCCGGAGGCTAAAAAACTGTGAGCTAGCTCACACTAACTCAGCTTAGAGGGAACACTGGTCTATACTAACATGGGGAGGGATAAGCGCTTCAGGCTCTCCTTTGGTGCTGTCCCTGACCTTTGGATATCTCTTGTTTTAGGGTGATTCGGACTAACCACTAAGGTTGCTTGCTTCCGTATGGATGTCTTGCTCGACCCGTTGCTCAGCTGCAGACCTTTATGGGCAGGTGTGAGGGTATATCTCAAAGAATCCCCACCTCCAGCCGTGTGGAGACTCCACTGCCGCTGGGAATGCTTCTGCGGCGGTAACGAGAACACAATGGGGGAATTGCCCTCCAATGGCAGCAAACACTTTTGTTCCACATTGCAGGAGATTATAAGTATTGCGACACGTTGGGTTGATGACCTTTCCCATCACTCGCCAGCCTCTTCTTCTTCGTTTCCCTCCCGCCCATTTCCTCCCCCCCCCAGCCTGGCTGGGCCATCAAGTATCTAAGCAGGAAGAAGGGTCTTGTGCAAAGGTGGCCGTGAGCCAGAGCTGTGAATGCTTAAATTTACAAAACCCCACTCAATACCAAAAGCGAAATTTCCTTGACATCAGCTAATCCCCAGCTGTCATTACTTACCGAGTTGTGCAACCCAAGAAAGCTTTACCCCACCCAAACTTCTCCTTTCGTTTCCAACTTCTTCAAAACGAGTGCTGGAAGTAACCATATGAGAACTGAGATAATCCCATCTCCAGATACAGGATACTCCTAGGGTTGCCAGGACCCCCCTGGCCACTGGTGGAGGGGGGGGGGCGTAGGGTGGCCACATCCAGGTTGGGGAACTCCTGGAGATTTGGGGGTGGACCCTGGGGAGGACAACGGACCTCAGTGGGGTTCAGTGCCACAGAGTCCACCCTCCAAAGCCTCCCTTTTCTCCAGGGGAACTGATCTCTGTAGTCTGGAGACGAGCTGTGATTCCGGGGGATCCCCAGGTCCCACCTGGAGGCTGGCATCCCTAGATACACCCTATTTTATGCAGCATTTCATGGCCACAAAAGAGGAGTTCACAGCAATTTCCACTATGTCAGCTAAGCTGCCATGGGGGTTGGGGAGGCCAGTTGTATTCTAATTGCCATTGCATTCCTTCTGTGCTTCTTCACTGCTGTAACACTTATCTCTAAGTTCTGCAGGTGGTGGGATGTTGATGTCT